TTTATCGAATAGGGATTCAAGACCTGTTGTACGTCTTGATATATCCGCAATTTTTTCATCTTATACAGAATCATCAATATTGTCAGGATCATAGGTGTCCATTTCGGTTAACACGTCTTGAATTTCGGGGTCCGGTTTACCTCCATAATAAAATCTAGTTACTGATAAAAAATGGGCCTGTTCCCTGTTCCAGCTCATCATCGCTGTTAGACTTGTCCAAATATTCTTGAAGGCTTTGGTTAAATCTCTTTGTTAACTCTTTTATTTCTTAATAAGTAACTTCATCAGTATTATTTGTCATAGTCTTAGGTTGGTCTTAAAAAACGTCATCATTTGAACTTTCACTAAGTGAAATTGGTGTAACGGAAATTTTAGTATTTGTCATGTCTGAGTCTGAATCAGTATCCATATTTGGGTCTATTTCTGTTTCAGTCAGTTCTTGCCGTAATCCGCTTCGTCTAGAGTCATATATTGGTATTTAAGTATCTTCTCTTAACGATTCTTCAGTATCGCTTTGATCATTTTTGGAAAACATACTTGTTCTTGACGATGCACCAAGGTTAATTATATCTCTAACTGGTAACTGTGGCATTTCCTTAATTTTGGAACTAGTATGTTTTATTTCTGTAGTTTCTAAATTCGTATCGCTAGCATATGATGTTAAGGCTACTGATTCTGAAAAATTCACTTTCATTGAGCTAGAATCTTTTGATATGTTTTTAGTGACATTTCTTAATATATTCGGTTGAGATGTAGATGATTTCTGTGGCTGTGGAAATGTTTTTGTTCGGGTTCTTTAAACAATCACACTATGATCTAATTTAGGCCGTTCTTTGTTTGTTTTTGAACCAAGGGGTCGTCCAGGACCCTTGATCAACTTAGGTACATCTGTTTCTGATTTGGTCATGCTTCTTGGTTTTGTTACTTCTTTTATTTCCTTCGAGGTTGTTGGGAATGCTTTAGGTTTGATCGTCGTTAATTTGGATGCTCTTACTAATCCTTTCCTCTGACTTTGTAATTCCGTTTTCTTCTTTTCCTCTATTTTCTTTCGACCCATCATCATAACTCTTAGTAATGGTGATCCATTGTTTATTTTATTTTCTGCATAAAGAAATGGTCCTACTGGGTTTCTAGACAATGCATCAGCGTTGGTATTGAGTCTTCCTGGTTTGTATTTAAAAGTGTATTTATAATCGGTGAATTTAAACATCCAGCGCATCAAACGGTGACCTAGGTTTTTATTGTATGCATCTAATTCAATGGCTCATGATTGGCTACGAGAACAAATTCATTTCCTAATAAATACAAACGAAAGTGATGCATTGCATATAGTGCAGCTAGACATTGCTTTTCAGTCGTGGAATAATTTATTTCGGCTTTATTCAAAGTTCTTAAAAGATAAGTGACAGGATGGTCAAACCCATCTTTTTCTTGACTTAATACCGCTCCAATTGCATAGTTAGATGCATCTGTTGTTAACTTGAATGATTTACTAAAGTCGGGGAATTGTAAAATAGGCTCTTGGCATAAAGTGATCCTTTAGTATTTAAAAACTTTTTTCCTGCATTTCAGTCCATTCAAAATTTTCTCCCTTTTTTAATAAATCTGATAATGGCTTAGCTATTTTTAAAAAATGTTTAGTAAAGCGTTTTTAGTATCTTGCTAGTCCTAAAAATTGTCTAATATTTTTCATAGTTTTTGGTTGGGGAAATTCTCTCATGGCTTGTATCTTTTTAGGGTCCGGTTCAATCCCTCGTTGACTCACTATATGCCCAAGAAATATTACTTCTTTTCGCAAAAATTCAACTTTATCTGGTTGAAGTACCATATTCGCTGATCTTAACCGATCGAAAAGTAAACGAACTTTACGGTCGTGATCTACTAGATCTTTTGCGTAAATAATAATATCATCTAAATACACTAGCATTTCAACATTCAATAAGCATCTCAATATGAGATCCATTAGTCGTTGGAACGTGGCAGGTGCGTTTTTCAAGCCTTCGGGCATTCGTCTATATTGGTAATGTCCATGGGGTTTTATAATGCTGTTTTATACTTATCATATTCATCCATGGGAATTTGTTGGAATCCACTTGCCAAATCAAAAACTGAAAAATATACGGCTCCTCCCAACTGGTCCACAATATCTGCGATATTAGGCAATGGATATGCATCACCAATGGTTTTTTTATTAAGTTCTCGGAAATCAATTACTACCCTCCATCTTGGGTTTCCATGGCTATCCGGTTTTTTAGGGACAATCCAAAGAGGTGAATTATACGGTAATGACGAAGGTTTGATTATTCCATCGTTAAGTTTTTTTCCTACGTGGTCTTCTAAGCCTTTTGTATGTGCTGGTGGGTGACGATATTGTTCAGTGTTGATAGGGATGTTATTTTCCGTCGGGATTTCGTGTGCGACGAGGTTAGTACAAGGTAAAGTGTCTCCAGGTAACAAGAAGATTTCTAAGAATTCAGAAATGAATTGATATATTTGGTCTCGTTCTTCCAAGTTTAAATGACTAGTGCGCACAATTCCTTTCAAGGTCATTTATTCTATCTCGTTTATTTTTAACAATTGGTCTCTCATGTTCGCTGCTCGTATCGGGATCAAATTCAGGTGCAATGTATTCGAAAGGTAGGATTTCTCTTGGGTCTATTTAAATCGTAATATCATCCTTATTAGTATTTATTGCCATAATATTACATGGACCGTTCTCATTTTTTACTAGTCCTTCTCCTAAATATATGTTTTCACACCCTACATTTATTCGTGGTAAGTATCCTTCCGTTAAATTAGTATTAATTAGATTAATTCTTACTATTTGACGTGTTCGAGCCTTAATCGTATATTTGGTTTCTTTACTGGTATTATTTTGTTCCTCATTAGGGCAATGTTCTACACTAGGAGTATTTTTATTCTGTTTAATGGCATGGAGTTGGAGTATATCTTGGCTGACTAATTCATTATTTTCACTGTATATCCCACTTTTATCAGTTTTATTATCAGTGGCCTTCATAAGATTTTCACCTCTTTCTGATAAGATCAATTTGTCAAACTCATCTCGAAAATGAAAATCAGCTTTTATGTCTCCAAATTTTTCGTTTTTAGGTATATTTAACCTTTTGGATGGGCCTACGATGTATTTGTCATAAAATTTCTGTTAGTTATTTTCATCCTTGAGGCATTCTGTCTTTTTGTTAGTATCAAGGGTTGTAGCTAAAATTTGATTTTCCTGTGCTTATTTTTTTAATTTTATGGTTTTTTGTTCTTTTTCATCTCTTTTCAATTGCCCTATTTCCTGAAGAGTTTTTAAAAAAGGTATGGGGTTCATTACGTCATCATCCAGTACTATAGCATCATGATAATATAATAACGTGGCTCGTCGTTCCTTACAAAAGTTTCGACCCAATAAACCGCCATCTTTGATCGAAAAATCGTTAGGGATCAGTTGAAAAATTGTAGGTTTTCCTTGTATGGTCATATACGTTGTTCCTTAAGTTAAAACTGGGTGACGTGTGATTCCAGTAAGATTAATAATTTCACTAGTCTCTACTTGTGAATATAGGTGCAACTGATCTTATTTAATCAGATTTGTGGCGGCGCCATTTTCGAGTACGAGAGTTATAAAGTGATTTTTCCCTTCTAGGATTAATAAATTTATGCTTGTAGGCTCGTCGTCTACGCCAAGTCCCTGGCAGGTACCAATGTGGACGGTTTTAATTCTGTTGCTATTTTCATTACCTGCGCTGAAACATTTGGTGTAGGGGTTGAATTTTGTCTTGGGGGCACACCTCTAAACGACGATTGGGGTGAGCCGCCTGAGAGTTTAAATGATGCGGCAAACGGTCGCCTCCTGATTGGTATTGATTTTGAAGGTTCTGATTCTGATAGTCTGGATTAAAACTTTGTTGATTATAACTATTATAATTATTATATTGGGGGTGTTAGTGGCATCTCGACTAATTTTTTATTGACAAAAAAAAGGTCATTGAGACGTAGCACTAAACTAATAAATTAAATAACCAAATGAAATCAGCAGTGGAAGCGAATTGTTTTGGTGTTAATAATATTTATTGAATCAACGGCTATTTACAATATTTACAGAGCAATTTGAATATAATTTAGATTTAATGAACAATAGATAAACGTGAAAAGTAAAAACGAATAAGTTCTGTCTTATGTAAAGCGAGCGAGAACGAACAAAAATAAGAGTCGATACAAAATACCTGTGACCATATAGAAGCCAACCAAGACGATTAGAATTTAGAAAAACGACATCTAAAAAACGAGCAATTAGTTGACTTATACAAAGATCTCAATTTACTCAAGCGATGTTAACAGGTCGAAGTCTCAAAGGCGAGAGAGCCAGCAACGCCTCGTAAGTGCCGTCGAAGCCGCGATCTAGCCGCCGCTAAGGGGGGAGAATTTTGTTCCAATGACAATACTAACAACAAACTATATTTACTTATTCCCTCAATCGTACAATAGCAGCCTGGATGTCGCGCAATTTAAAACCTCAACAAGTCAAACACGAATCCAAACATATTGCCCGCCTTGCTGTCTCTCAGTCAGCAAATTACAATGCTTTATAACAAAAATTTTAACTCAAACTCGCTTCACATTAAGAGCCTTAACATTAGAATTTTCATTAAAATTCACATTGAATTAGATTGAAATCCCCCTTTTTTCTTCTTTTAAACACTCCAAATTAATGAAATTTGTAAGCAAAATTAAAAAGAAAACAAAGTTATCAAACAACAAAATTCAAACAGGTAGTAGCTCTGAGCCGCAATTACAATCGAAACGAACAATATAAAAACAATGCATTTTCATTTTTGACTTAACTAAAATTTTAAATCAAAATCTAATCATATAATTATCTATGCTAAATAGGTCCATATACAACATAACAATAAATCCAACACTCACAGTCCATGAATCACTACAGTTTTCGATTTTATAGTCCATAATGCCTATTCCATCAATTCACTTCACCCTCACTTTTCTTGTCCTGATTTAATTTTACTTAAACATTCTTCAGCCTGCGACTCGGTAGGTAATCGAATAAGCTTGACCACGGGGCGTAGGAAAACCGATTTTGATGTCTTTAAGGTAACCACTCGTACCAAACCATCTTTTCCTGGATGAACCTGCAGTACTCGTGCCAATGGCCACTGAGCTGGTGGAGCAAGCTCGTCCTTAACCAATACGACGTCCCCCTGTTCGATGTTTGGAGCCTGCTTAAGCCACTTATTGCGCTGTTGAAGCTGATTCAACACCTCTTTTCGCCAACGAGACCAAAATGAGTTTCGGATATTAACAATCTGCTTCCAGCGATGATTCAAACTAGTGGAACAATGTGACTCATCGTACGGCTCAGGATACGACAGCAAAGCAGATCCGACCAAAAAATGTCCAGGAGTCAACGCCAGATGATCCAAAGCGTCTCCACTAAGAGTACAGAGAGGACGTGAATTTAAGCACGCCTCTATACGAGCTGCAAGCGTTGATAGCTCCTCGAAGGTCAAAGTGGCGCTTCCCATTGCACGGCGAAGATGAAATTTGAAGCTGCGCACTGCTGCTTCCCACAAGCCCCCGAAATGCGGGGCGCGGGGAGGGATGAATTTCCATGACGTGCCTTTCAGTGCCAGATGACTTGCGACTTCTCCGATAAACTTTGAAGAGACTGAAAACATTCTATTGAGCTCCACCGCCGCCCCTCGGAAATTCGTTGCGTTGTCGGAGTAGATCACAGAACAGCATCCTCTACGAGCCACGAACCTTGAATAGGCTGCCAAAAATGCCCCCGTTGATAGATCCGACACAATCTCGATGTGGACTGCTCTAGTCACAAGACAAACAAAAATTGCGATATAGCCCTTTGTAGCTTTTGCTCCTCGACCTCTCGAAAATAACACCGGTACAGGGCCCGCGTAATCTACGCCTGCAGATGCAAAAGGACGCTGCGGCTCCAGTCGTATTGCTGGCAAAGGGGCCATCTGCTGCTGAGTGCGTTGCTGAGAAAACCGCAGACACCTCACACAGCGATGAAAAACGCCGGATACCACCCGTCGACCCTGAATTATCCACAGCGAACGGCCAATATGAGACAACATCAGTTGAGTGCCCCCATGAAGTGTAAGAGCGTGGACCTCTTCGATGAGTCGTCTCACTAACAAACTTCTGCCTGGCAAGATCACTGGATGCTTCTCTTGAAATGATAGTGACGATTCCTGGAGCCTGCCCCCGACTCTAATAAGGCCCTGATGACATACGAAGGGTGTCAGACGTGCCAAGGGTGACGATCTCGGAAGCACCTGATTCCGCAACAAAATTTTTTTCTCATTAGCAAACCAGTACGATTAAATTGCGCGATAACAAGCAAGACGAGCCCAAGTATACTCTCCAGCTGTCAGCTTACCAAGGCCTCTTTTCCCCCTGGCATGTAACCAACGTCCACAATACCCCAAAATTCTAAGTATTCGTGAGAAACTTGAATATTTCTCAAGCTTGGTTACCACATTCAACCCCTCGTCGGAGTGCGCCACACATACAGCAACTTCAGCCTCCCTCTGCTCCACCAATAACGATTCCGCACGATCACCGACGTCGAGCATTGGCCATTCTGAACTTGATAGAACCAACCAAGCAGGTCCCCTCCACCAGAGATCATGCGTTGAGAGCTGAGCCGGCGTGACTCCTCGAGTAGCGCAGTCTGCAGGATTCTGAGCCGAACGGACGTGATGCCATTGTGCCTGGGGAAGCGATGATACTATCTCGCTAACACGGTTGGCAACAAATGTCTGCCAGCGAGACGGGTGCGAGGCCAGCCAATCCAAAACCACCCTTGAATCTGTCCATAAGTGAATTTCGTCCGGCGGTCTTCTCAACCGAGCCAGGGTACCTCCAATTAAGCGAGCCAGCAGATGAGCACCACATAATTCAAGCCTAGGAAGTGATTGCACCTTGACTGGTGCAATCTTTGTCTTTGCTATTAATAAAGTAGACGAGCATCCGGGTAGTACAGCATATATTGCTGCCGCATATGCGCGCTTGGAAGCGTCTGCAAAGCCATGCAAAGTCCATCCATCTGTTTCGGCCCCTCCAATCCACCTCTGTATTTTGATCTTAGTAAGATCTCCGAGCAACGATCGAAAACCAGACCATTTCTTACACAGCTCTCCAGGCACGCGATCGTCCCAATCGACCCCTGAAAGCCAAACATCCTGTAACACAATTTTCGCTGTAATCAATACAGGGGCCAGCCAACCCATAGGATCAAATAATCGTGAAATATCTGAAAGAATTCCTCTTTTGGTCAGCTCCGATCCAGCTGATGCCCATTCAATTCTAAAACCAAAGACGTCGTCCCTTGGCTGCCACAAAAGTCCCAGAGCAGATACACTCTCCTCGACTTTGAACGCAATTTCAGAGTCAGCCAGCGAGTCCAAGCCTCCCAACAGCGCAGCATCGTTGGCCGCCCACTTACTCAACAACATGCCAGCCGATTTCAAAACCGTGATGAGCTGATCCCTGCAGCGTAGAGCAGACCCCACGTCGTCAGCTCCGCCGAATGCATCGTCGACATACATCTGATGACGTAGGATGATTGCCGCTTCCGGATATGCACCACCCTCGTCATGAGCCAGCTGCTGGAGAACTCTGAGAGCCAAATACGGCGCCAAAGCGGTGCCATACGTCACGGTTGTTGCCCTGTAGTCTTGAATAGGTTGAGAGCGATCCAGCCTCCAAACTATTCGCTGCCAATCGATATCATCATGATGCACTAAAATTTGACGATACATTTTTGTTATGTCAGTCACAAAAACACATTTAAAAAATCTCCAGTTACTAATGACGACTGTTATATCCAATTGGAGCTTCGCCCCTGGCAAGAGAAAGTCATTTAAAGACTGACCCGACGATGCCCGCTGTGAGGCGTTAAAAACTACACGAATTTTATCCGGGTTCCCTTGGCGAAAAACGGCATGGTGTGGCATGTAGTACGACGATTTATTACTATCATGCTTTGGAACTGGCTCCATATAACCTAAACTAATGTATTCGCCAATGAATTCGCGATATGCTTTCGCGAGACAAGCATTTTTGTCATGTCTGACCTCGGATCGCGCCAAGCACGCAATTGCAATATCGCGAGAGTTCAACGAAATTGGTTTTTTCGAAAAAGGCAATCGAACAATATATCGACCCTCTATGTTTCGAGTGTGAGTAGACACAAACAATTCCTCACAGTAAAGATTTTCAGGAGACAACGGCTTAGGCGCGTCAATCTCTTCGATCTCCCAAAACTTAGATAACAAACTCGACAGGCTGTGCTCTACCGAAACGTTTAGCACGCGCACAGTTTCTTTGCTAACAGAGAGCGGCCCCGATGATTCACCGGTCAAAATCCAACCGAATATAGTGTTTTGTGCTAGTGGTGTACCTCGAGGTCACTTTATCAATCCATTCAACATTATTGACGCATATATGTCTGCCCCAATTATACAATCTATCCTTTGTTGTTTATAAAAATACGGATCTGCCAACACGAGCCCTTTTATATGCGGCCACTCAGCTCGCACAGTACATCTACCAGGACTGTATCGAGTGAGCGACCTCATAACTAGCATGCGAACATCGAAAGAGGCTCTACTTGTGACTGGACGAATCGCTACCGTCGATTCACCTATTGGTTTCGTTTCGCTTTCCCCAAAACCAACGACTGAGCACGACGACGGCAGTCCTCTAATACCAAGATCCGCGATAACCGACTCTATAACAAAACTTCTCTGAGCCCCGGGATCGATTGGAGCTCGAACTTCAATTGTGCTTCCGTGCTCCGCGACAAGAACGACTCGAGCCATTGCCAACAATATAGAAGCACTTACAGGAGCGACGTTAACCAAAATCGAGTTTGACATCCCGCTTGATCCGAAATCACGACCACCACCACCAGGCTTATGTGCACCAAAAGACCCGATATCATCTGATTTTGTAGGCTTTGAATGTAGCAGTGTATTATGCTTCGCTCCACAAGACAAGCATCTTTTCTCAGAAGGACAGTTTTTTAAAAAATGTGAGTCATAAAGACAATTCAAACATAATCTTGACCTTTTGCAGACATAAAATCTTTTCGGCTGAGACAGTCTCTCAAATTGAGGACACTTATGCAACAAATGACTCTCTTTACAAAGAACACACGATACTACCGATCGTTTTTTTGTTTTCGATTCGCTTTGAGACTTCCCGACCTTTTCAGTAGATACATTCGCCGATATTTGTTTATTTTGTCCTTTTGAAGGTTGTACACTTTTTTCGCCCCTGCGAGCCGGAGCACAATCAATCGATACGTGAGCCTGTTCTAAAGACTGAGTGCGCCTCTCGATAAAGGCAACGAGCTCCGTGTAGGTAGGGCTCGCAGCCCTGCTCTCACGCGATATCTCCCAACCTTCTCGACTCAATGGATCCAACTTCCGAATCACGCAATGTATAATCCAANACAGTCCATGAATCACTACAGTTTTCGATTTTATAGTCCATAATGCCTATTCCATCAATTCACTTCACCCTCACTTTTCTTGTCCTGATTTAATTTTACTTAAACATTCTTCAGCCTGCGACTCGGTAGGTAATCGAATAAGCTTGACCACGGGGCGTACGAAAACCGATTTTGATGTCTTTAAGGTAACCACTCGTACCAAACCATCTTTTCCTGGATGAACCTGCAGTACTCATGCCAATGGCCACTAAGCTGGTGGAGCAAGCTCGTCCTTAACCAATACGACGTCCCCCTGTTCGAAGTTTGGAGCCTGCTTAAGCCACTTATTGCGCTGTTGAAGCTGATTCAACACCTCTTTTCGCCAACGAGACCAAAATGAGTTTCGGATATTAACAATCTGCTTCCAGCGATGATTCAAACTAGTGGAACAATGTGACTTATCGTACGGCTCAGGATACGACAGCAAGGCAGATCCGACCAAAAAATGTCCAGGAGTCAACGCCAGATGATCCAAAGCGTCTCCACTAAGAGTACAGAAAGGACGTAAATTTAAGCACGCCTCTATACGAGCTGCAAGCGTTGATAGCTCCTCGAAGGTCAAAGTGGCGCTTCCCATTGCACGGCGAAGATGAAATTTAAAGCTGCGCACTGCTGCTTCCCACAAGCCCCCGAAATGCGGGGCGCGAGGAGGGATGAATTTCCATGACGTGCCTTTCAGTGCCAGATGACTTGCGACTTCTCTGATAAACTTTGAAGAGACTGAAAACATTCTATTGAGCTCCACCGCCACCCCTCGGAAATTCGTTGCGTTGTCGGAGTAGATCACAGAACAGCATCCTCTACGAGCCACGAACCTTGAATAGGCTACCAAAAATGCCCCCGTTGATAGATCCGACACAATCTCGATGTGGACTGCTCTAGTCACAAGACAAACAAAAATTGCGATATAGCCCTTTGTAGCTTTTGCTCCTCGACCTCTCGAAAATAACACCGGTACAGGGCCCGCGTAATCTACGCCTGCAGATGCAAAAAGGACGCTGCGGCTCCAGTCGTATTGCTGGCAAAGGGGCCATCTGCTGCTGAGTGCGTTGCTGAGAAAACCGCAGACACCTCACACAGCGATGAAAAACGCCGGATACCACCCGTCGACCCTGAATTATCCACAGCGAACGGCCAATATGAGACAACATCAGTTGAGTGCCCCCATAAAGTGTAAGAGCGTGGACCTCTTCGATGAGTCGTCTCACTAACAAACTTCTGCCTGGCAAGATCACTGGATGCTTCTCTTGAAATGATAGTGACGATTCCTGGAGCCTGCCCCCGACTCTAATAAGGCCCTGATGACATACGAAGGGTGTCAGACGTGCCAAGGGTGACGATCTCGGAAGCACCTGATTCCGCAACAAAATTTTTTTCTCATTAGCAAACCAGTACGATTAAATTGCGCGATAACAAGCAAGACGAGCCCAAGTATACTCTCCAGCTGTCAGCTTACCAAGGCCTCTTTTCCCCCCGGCATGTAACCAACGTCCACAATACCTTAAAATTCTAAGTATTCGTGAGAAACTTGAATATTTCTCAAGCTTGGTTACCACATTCAACCCCTCGTCGGAGTGCGCCACACATACAGCAACTTCAGCCTCCCTCTGCTCCACCAATAACGATTCCGCACGATCACCGACGTCGAGCATTGGCCATTCTGAACTTGATAGAACCAACCAAGCAGGTCCCCTCCACCTGAGATCATGCGTTGAGAGCTGAGCCGGCGTGACTCCTCGAGTAGCGCAGTCTGCAGGATTCTGAGCCGAACGGACGTGATGCCATTGTGCCTGGGGAAGCGATGATACTATCTCGCTAACACGGTTGGCAACAAATGTCTGCCAGCGAGACGGGTGCGAGGCCAGCCAATCCAAAACCACCCTTGAATCTGTCCATAAGTGAATTTCGTCCGGCGGTCTTCTCAACCGAGCCAGGGTACCTCCAATTAAGCGAGCCAGCAGATGAGCACCACATAATTCAAGCCTAGGAAGTGATTGCACCTTGACTGGTGCAATCTTTGTCTTTGCTATTAATAAAGTAGACGAGCATCCGGGTAGTACAGCATATATTGCTGCCGCATATGCGCGCTTGGAAGCGTCTGCAAAGCCATGCAAAGTCCATCCATCTGTTTCGGCCCCTCCAATCCACCTCTGTATTTTGATCTTAGTAAGATCTCGGAGCAACGATCGAAAACCAGACCATTTCTTACACAGCTCTCCAGGCACGCGATCGTCCCAATCGACCCCTGAAAGCCAAACATCCTGTAACACAATTTTCGCTGTAATCAATACAGGGGCCAGCCAACCCATAGGATCAAATAATCGTGAAATATCTGAAAGAATTCCTCTTTTGGTCAGCTCCGATCCAGCTGATGCCCATTCAATTCTTAAATCAAAGACGTCGTCCCTTGGCTGCCACAAAAGTCCCAGCGCAGATACACTCTCCTCGACTTTGAACGCAATTTCAGAGTCAGCCAGCGAGTCCAAGCCTCCCAACAGCGCAGCATCGTTGGCTGCCCACTTACTCAACAACATGCCAACCGATTTCAAAACCGTGATGAGCTGATCCCTGCAGCGTAGAGCAGACCCCACGTCGTCAGCTCCGCCGAATGCATCGTCGACATACATCTGATGACGTAGGATGATTGCCGCTTCCGGATATGCACCACCCTCGTCATGAGCCAGCTGCTGGAGAACTCTGAGAGCCAAATACGGCGCCGAAGCGGTGCCATACGTCACGGTTGTTGCCCTGTAGTCTTGAATAGGTTGAGAGCGATCCGGCCTCCAAACTATTCGCTGCCAATCGATATCATCATGATGCACTAAAATTTGACGATACATTTTTGTTATGTCAGTCACAAAAACACATTTAAAAAATCTCCAGTTACTAATGACGACTGTTATATCCGATTGGAGCTTCGGCCCTGGCAAGAGAAAGTCATTTAAAGACTGACCCGACGATGCCCGCTGTGAGGCGTTAAAAACTACACGAATTTTATCCGGGTTCCCTTGGCGAAAAACGGCATGGTGTGGCATGTAGTACGACGATTTATTACTATCATGCTTTGGAACTGGCTCCATATGCCCTAAACTAATGTATTCGCCAATGAATTCGCGATATGCTTTCGCGAGACAAGCATTTTTGTCACGTCTGACCTCGGATCGCGCCAAGCACGCAATTGCAATATCGCGAGAGTTCAACGAAATTGGTTTTTTCGAAAAAGGCAATCGAACAATATATCGACCCTCTATGTTTCGAGTGTGAGTAGACACAAACAATTCCTCACAGTAAAGATTTTCAGGAGACAACGGCTTAGGCGCGTCAATCTCTTCGATCTCCCAAAACTTAGATAACAAACTCGACAGGCTGTGCTCTACCGAAACGTTTAGCACGCGCACAGTTTCTTTGCTAACAGAGAGCGGCCCCGATGATTCACCGGTCAAAATCCAACCGAATATAGTGTTTTGTGCTAGTGGTGTACCTCGAGGTCCCTTTATCAATCCATTCAACATTATTGACGCATATATGTCTGCCCCAATTATACAATCTATCCTTTGTTGTTTATAAAAATACGGATCCGCCAACACGAGCCCTTTTATATGCGGCCACTCAGCTCGCACAGTACATCTACCAGGACTGTATCGAGTGAGCGACCTCATAACTAGCATGCGAACATCGAAAGAGGCTCTACTTGTGACTGGACGAATCGCTACCGTCGATTCACCTATTGGTTTCGTTTCGCTTTCCCCAAAACCAACGACTGAGCACGACGACGGCAGTCCTCTAATACCAAGATCCGCGATAACCGACTCTATAACAAAACTTCTCTGAGCCCCGGGATCGATTAGAGCTCGAACTTCAATTGTGCTTCCGTGCTCCGCGACAAGAACGACTCGAGCCATTGCCAACAATATAGAAGCACTTACAGGAGCGACGTTAACCAAAATCGAGTTCGACATCCCGCTTGATCCGAAATCACGACCACCACCACCAGGCTTATGTGCACCAAAAGACCCGATATCATCTGATTTTGTAGGCTCTGAATGTAGCAGTGTATTATGCTTCGCTCCACAAGACAAGCATCTTTTCTCAGAAGGACAGTTTTTTAAAAAATGTGAGTCATAAAGACAATTCAAACATAATCTTGACCTTTTGCAGACATAAAATCTTTTCGGCTGAGACAGTCTCTCAAATTGAGGACACTTATGCAACAAATGACTCTCTTTACAAAGAACACACGATACTACCGATCGTTTTTTTGTTTTCGATTCGCTTTGAGACTTCCCGACCTTTTCAGTAGATACATTCGCCGATATTTGTTTATTTTGTCCTTTTGAAGGTTGTACACTTTTTTCGCCCCTGCGAGCCGGAGCACAATCAATCGATACGTGAGCCTGTTCTAAAGACTGAGTGCGCCTCTCGATAAAGGCAACGAGCTCCGTGTAGGTAGGGCTCGCAGCCCTGCTCTCACGCGATATCTCCCAACCTTCTCGACTCAATGGATCCAACTTCCAAATCACGCAATGTATAATCCAATTATCGTAATGATTAACTGGACATTCGAGATCTTTTAATGCACGAACTGATTATTCAGTTTTATCCAAAATTTGAATCAAATCAGGCAAATTTCCGGGTTTAACAACAGGTAAATTTATTAAATTTTCCAAATGATTAAATAAACGTATTTGAGCATTGTCGAATCTACGTACTAATTTTTCCCATGCAATGTCAAAATTTGAGTCCGTTATATCAATGCCTTTTAATCTTTGCTGCGCTGAGCCCTGTACTACCGATAACAAGTGTTGCAATTTGACAGCCTTGGGCATTTCGCGTTTTATTACGAGCGAGGTAAACAGCTGCTTAAACGATTCCCACTCCTCGTGTTTACCAGAAAACGTTGGTAGCGACAGAGGAGGAAAATTTACTTTTTTGGTATTACTTGATCTATGATCAACACGAGGTGAACTTTCTAAATCAATTATGTGATCATTGAACTCACCCAACGCGTCAGTATATGCTTCAAACACTTGATCAGCTATTTGCTTTTCATAATACTCATGAGAGAGCAAGATTTTTTCATCTGCTTGTATAATTGCGTGTTTCTTTTTAAAATCGGCAAGATCCATATCTAACTGTGTAACGCGTGCACGAGTTTGCCCCAACGTCATATTGGCTCTCCCTTTCTTTTTGAAATTCGCGAAGGCATATTTTATCTTTTTTCCAAGCGTGACCTGATCAGTGTACCACTTTTCCGATATTCTCTTCAAAATTATTTCAACAGTCACAGAAAAATCAAGACAAACTAGACAAATACCAATATCACCTTGCAAAGTTCGACGATTCAACGAGAAAGATAAGCTGATACCTCTAGACTGTGTATACCTGGTTTGTAGTCGCCGTCGCAAGCCCCCCTCTCACCTCTCGCTCAGCCTTTTAGCTTTTGATGAACGCAAGCTGTGCGTTACAGTGAGAAGACGAAGAAAAGGCTATCAACACATGACTCCACACCCCTCTCCGCCCGGCAGGAAAGCGGCAGAAGAAAAGCCCGAAATCGTCGTCCGAGCGTCGAGAGTGGGAGCCGCTTTGTAAAGGCTGCGCGACAGTGGCTCTCGATGTAAACACCAACTTCTCGATGGTCTCAGCTACCTCTCCCTTCCTCGAGCAACACTTGATACTAAAAGCAAATCGTACGAAAACAAGGCAGAAACGTGAATTTAAGAGAAATAACATATAACAAAAATTCATAATATGCAATGTGTGCAACTAAACCACGCTCTGCTACCAAAATGTAAGTGGCATCTCGACCAATTTTTTATTGACAAAAAAAAAGTCATTGAGACGTAGCACTAAGCTAATAAATTAAATAACCAAATAAAATCAGCAGTGGAAGCGAATTGTTTTGGTGTTAATAATATTTATTGAATCAACGGCTATTCACAATATTTACAGAGCAATTTGAATATAATTTAGATTTAATGAACAATAGATAAACGTGAAAAGTAAAAACGAATAAGTTCTGTCTTATGTAAAGCGAGCGAGAACGAACAAAAATAAGAGTCGATACAAAATACCTGTGACCATATAGAAGCCAACCAAGACGATTAGAATTTAAAAAAACGACATCGAAAAAACGAGCAATTAGTTGACTTATACAAAGATCTCAATTTACTGAAGCGATGTTAACAGGTCGAAGTCTCAAAGGCGAGAGAGCCAGCAACGCCTCGTAAGTGCCGTCGAAGCCGCGATCTAGCCGCCACTAAGGGGGGGAGAATTTTGTTCCAATGACAATACTAACAACAAACTATACTTACTTATTCCCTTAATCGTACAATAGCAGCCTGGATGTCGCGCAATTTAAAACCTCAACAAGTCAAACACGAATCCAAACAGGGGGTAACTATTATAATTCTAATCTCTGCCTTGGTGTCCTTGATTATTACCAGGATTAAAATTAGCATTCCTTTGAGTGTAATAATCATAAGGATTTTCGTTATTTTATTGTCCGAAATTATTCTGATAATAATCCTTCATCTTCCATCAAGGCTTTTTCAGCACCGCTTAGCAGTAGGTTTACATAATTATAATATTCACCAACCAATTGGCCTTGTCGTTGGCGCCCTTCCTGTAGCTGAGTTTGATAGTAAGCAACGGTTTTTCCTATTGCATATCTTTTTTTTAAATTTGTTATAAATGCTTCGAGGTTTTCGAAATCTTGGCCACTTACGCTTATGCGTGTGGCACCTCGTAGATTCTGCAATACTGCTCTTTTATATAAATCTTTTTGATCATCCCTGACCCAGCTTTCTCCATTTCTAACATCTTGTATATAATCCTTCAGTAAAATATTTTTTCCATCGAATATAGGAATGGATTTAATTGCATGCTGAAATGAGAAGTTGGCATTAAGAGACTCCATCAGCGCTTCGGCTACTGTGATATCGGCATCATCGTTTCCATTGCCCATTTTCTTAGTTGTGTAATACCTTACGTGCGTTTTTTTTTCCTCCTTTCATATTTTGTATTTATATATATATTTTTTTTTAATAAGTTTTTTTTTTTCTATTCTTTATGTGTGTAATACTAACAAAAAAAAATATACTACTATTTGTTTTGGTTATTTGTTTTGGAAATATATTCTATTAAATCCTTGACATTTATCGCAGAAGACATAAGTAATAAAGAAATAATTGTATGTATATCTATATATGTATATATCTGTGTATTTATTCGTGTGTGGATGTGTATGTCTTTAATGTGAGCGTTTGCTTAACGCATGCAAGTGCAATAAGTTTGCTTTAATTTTTATAGGTATACGATAAGTGTACTATGTGTATGCCCAAAAACTAAAGTGAGAGAGTGTAATCGAGCACGCTTATATGATATCATCTGCTTTAAGCAAGGGAGTATACGGCGCAGGGATTTCTAATGTGGCATGTGTAGCTATACATACAAATTGCTACGCGAGCATCAGCTAGTGCGCGGTGTAATATTGAAAGGCTCTTTCTGTACGAGAGTATCTGACTTAACTTAACACTTTTTCCTCTGTAAGCAAGAATGGGCTCGACGGTCACGGTTTAAATACCGTATTAATAATTTTTTTATATATTCGTATGTATATGAGTAATCTCCTGCCTATGCGTTTATATGTTCTTGAGTGCCTTTAAGAAACTCTTTTTTCGCGAAAGCAATTAATTCATCAAATTGTGTATTTAATCGAATTTTAAAATTATCGCATTTCCGCTGAACATTAATTTCTGAATTATAAAAATTATTTTTCTGAAACGTACTTACTACTTGTTTTTCGATTTTTTTGTTTTTTGATAAATTACTGTTTAATGTATCACAGTTATAGTAATTTCGTAACTGATTATTAATGAAATCTAATTTTTTTTCAAGAAGGTTTTTCTCTCTTATAAGCTCCTGCATAAGCAATTTCGTACCACTTGTCTTTCCTTTTTTATTACTCGCAAAATTGTTTGTTGGTGGTTTCATGAAATATTATTTTATAAACAATTGTGGGTATATAAGTGAAATCAATAATTATATTAAATCTTTCCTCCATTTTTTTAAGAATTCTTCTTCTACTAACACTATTACGTGAAAATTTGTCTGTGTATTTGTATTAGTTATTTTGATAGACCGCTTTAAATAGCAGATCTAGGGTAAAGAGTGTCTGCTATTTCAGCAGGACTAATGGGGATGAACCTTTGTGGTTAGCAGATTCAGGGTAAGAAGAAAAAGACCGCTCTGGTTAGCAGATCTTAGGTATAGAATGTTCGCTATTTAAACAGGACAAGAGGGATTAACCACTCTGGTTAGCAGATTCAGGGTAGGAACAGTGTATTTGTTCTGTCTTGTAAGCGTGTAGTATAAGAGATCACTATTTTCTTATTTTTCTGTTATCATTTAAAACACAACATTATCTTATTATTTGTTTATTTTTTTTGTTATTTTAATGACAGTTAACACTTATTTATTATTCCGTTCATTTATTAATGAAGTATTATATTCATTATTTTCTTTATTTACTTTTTTTTTTAATTTTTTTTTTTTTAGTTATAACGAAGTACCGCACATACCATGCTATCCGCAAAAGCACAGCATATAAGCGTCCACGCACAGTGTTCTATATGGGGTATTAAGCGTCATTCATTAACGTGCTTTATTAAATGGTGTTTGGTGTTTCTAAAGAGAAAGATAGTAATAAGAGAATATATAATAAATGAACAAATAGCTTGAGACCATTAACCATGCTCTGCTATAATTTTGTTGAATAACAATTAATGTCATTTAAGTTTGTGTTCAGCTTCAAACCAAAAACTGTGGACTACAGTCTTACGCTCCTTCACAGGCTGCGGGACAGCAAATAGTCCAACTATTTGTTTGTTTAAAAAAGGAAGCAAGAAATAAAGAGTTAAATATAATAGCCAGGTTAACTTACCTTTCTTTCCACTACAAAGTAATACTGGCAACTCTGCTTTAATTAGTAATTCGGATGACCAATTCGAATGACTTGTACTTCTTTACGATGGATTTATAATTATTTATTTTATAATAACTTAAGGTCCTTTTCTAATAAGCTTTGTATCACTTTAGTTTATGTTACTTGTATACATATAAAAAGAAACAGAGAAGAGACGGAACGTCTGGTCAATCTTTTATTATTAGTTATTCACGTCTGCACTTGATGAGCAGCAGCGGGCTACTAACTAAAACGCCGCGCAAAGAAATGCACCTTGCACGAAGTTTTAGTTAAAACTTATTCTTCTTATTTGCTATGGGGCCGGTTCTTGCTGACTTCATGTGTTTAAGCTTCATGCTTTGCTTCAGTTGTCACTTGACACTTCCAAGAGCCACAAAGTACACAGTCAGCTTTGTTAGATGACAACTCTCGTTAAGTATGACTCTGTAAAAAGTCTTAAAATTTGATCACTAAAAATCAAATATACCAGGGTGGAATGTAATAAAATTAAAAATTAATTAATTCACGCAAGGAATCGCCTAACAATTATTATTATTATTATCATCATTATAATCTTTATCATCACAATCATCATTATCATCATCATTATTATTCCCGTCATCATCATCATTATTAACAACATCATCATCATGATATTGAATATGAAAATCTTCATCATTATCTCCATTATTATATTGATTATTAATATGATTATCTTTTTCTTCAGTAACATCATCAATATGATCAAAATCATTATCATTATAATCGATATTATTGTTATTATTATCAGTATTTTTATTATTGTCATCAATATGGTTATCTTCTCTATCATCAACATTATCTTTATTTTCGACATCACAATCATAATCATTATTATCGTCATCATCATTTAAATTATTATTATTATTATTATTATTA